GTGGCTCACGGGCTCTAGAGCCCAGGCTCAGTAATTGTGGCACACGGGCTTCACTAGTTGTGGCACGCGGGCTCAGTAGTTGTGGCACACGGGCTTAGTTGCTCCGCAGCATGTGGGATCTTCCCGGACCAGGGCTCGAACCCATGTCCCCTGCATTGGCAGGTGGATTCCCAACCACTGCGCCACCAGGGAAGCCCAATTGTTCTGATTTTAAAGAGTTGGCCACGTATTCCTGGTTTTCTGCTGCTGCAGGTGCACCTGTAGCAGGAGGCCTGGTGGGCGGCTCAGCGGCTCTGACGGGCAGGGATGCTGCCCTCAGGGGTCCCTCAGGGCCCCATGAATGCCCAGCTCTGCTGTCGCCACTTGGGAGTGGTTCATAATTTTTAACAACGGGGCTGAGTTTTCATTTTGCATTGGGCCCGACTTGGGGGCAGGCCGGAGCCCACCTGGCGGGGAGAAGGGGAGCAGAACCGCTTCAGAGAGGCGGGGGGAGGTGAGCTGATAACTCAGGGGCTGGGGGTTTCGTCCACTGCAGGGGGCGCGCTGAGGCCGTGTGTGTGTGTGTGTGTGTGTGTGTGTGTGTGTGTGTGTGTGTGTGTCTGTGTGTCTGTGTGTGTCTGTGTGCGAGTGTGAGGCTGGGGGGCCTGAGTGCGTGTGTGCCCAGGGGGAGGGGGCGGCCGGGCAGGGAGAGGCAGGGAGAGGCACAGGGCAGCCAAGCAAATATTTATCGAGCGCCTTCTCTGTGCCAGGCGCTGCGGAGGCACTGAGATGAGTAAGCCCGGCCTTGCCCGGAGGCCCCACAGCTCCTGAGGGTGAAAGGGTGTAAACAGAGCGAAAGGAATCGAAGACAGGGAAAGCTCGGCTCCCCCGCGTGCGGGAGGGGAGCTGAAGGGGCGGAGTCGCCCCTCCCCCGCAGGCACGCCCCGAGGGGCTCCCTCACCTGCCAGGCAGCCCCCCGACCCCACGGGGGCAGTAAGAGGTGGGCCACGCCCCTGAGTCCTGCCGGCGGAGAGGTGGGGACGGGCAGGGCTGCCAGGGCTGCCAGGGCTGCCGGGCCCTGCAGTGTCCTGGGGAGGGGGGCGGGGGGCGGGGTTGCAGTGTTGGGACGGAGACACTGAGGACCACGCCCCCTAGGAGGGAGCGAGGCCCCGCCCCCTGTCGCCCCCAAGCGCCGGCAGGAGTCCAGGCTCCGCCGACCTTGGACCAGCCTCCTGCCCCAGCCGGGACACGGGGACGCCCAGTCCCCTCCGAGGGCTGTGGTGCGGAAGGAATGAGATAAAGGATGAGGAAAGCACCTCATAAACTGAAAACGGCAGGACAAAGGTCGGCGCGCCGTGCGGGCACTGCTGCCTCGGGCCCTTTGGCACGGGATGAAGGGCTGGGCGGCGGGCAGCTCTGCTCCCCAGCAGACCCTCCGGGCCGCGTCTCACCGCCGGTGCCTCCGGGCTGAAGAAGCTGATGGAGGCGGAGGGTCCTGGGCGGGCTTGGGGTCCTGGAGGTGTGCTCTGGTCCCGGGGCTCCTGCCCACTCTCAGAAGGGACTCAGGCAACGTGGGTGACCCTCTGGGGGCGCGAGGACCCCAGATAACGCGGGCGGAGAGGTGAGCACAGCGCCCGCACTTGGTCATTTTCAAGAAATGAGGCGACTATTAGGCCAGGACCCCCAATAAAGCAGCCGCGGGGAAGTGAGGACTGCTCCTAGCCGCCAGGCCCTGTCCTCCTGAGTGAGCCCCATGCACACACGTGCACACGCACACACCAGCACGCAACTGTTTTTCTCAGATGCCTTTCTTACCCGCATCCCTTTGGTGAATAATCTGATCTTTCTAAGACAGCTAAACAGCCTTGCAAACGCACAAAATGGCTTTTTAAAGTGCTCCCCGGAACTCGAGGCCTCAGACTTAAGGAACTCCGCTCTGGGAGACGTTCTGCACGAGGACCCCCCACCTACAGCCCCACCTGAACCCGGAGGTATCATTCTGTGCAGACGGAGCAGCACCTTCTGGAGTCTGCAGAGGACACCGTCAGAGGAGCCCCAGCCCTGGAGAAGCCTCTGGGGAGACGGCAGGGAGCACGGCTGAGTCCCCGGGGAGCCGAGCCTCCCTCTGCGTCTGTGACCCGGGCTGTCAGTCTCCGTCGTGGGGAGGGGGCCGCGCGGCGGCAGCGGTGTCCGCGGTGCCACGTAGACCAGGCCAGGCGTTCCTCCTCCCCCGAGTCCTCAAGCACTCATCTCGCTTTGTTTGCTTTTCCCTCCGCAAGATCATAACTCCGATTCCACGTCCGACAACGAAAGCTTGGATTCATCTTACAGATACTCAGCTTGCAGCCAGCTTGGCTGGAATGCACATCTACTCCACAAGGCCAGACACGCAATTCCAGACTCCTTGGTGGACGCCAGGGCACGGCGGCCTGACAGTGGGGCAGTGGGCTGCAGAGGCCTGGCTCGGCCCAGGTCGCCCCGCTGGTGCCTCGTGGCGGCAGGACAGCCCAAGCTCCAGGGAAGGATCACCCGTACCCTCACTCTCCCCCAACCTCAGCCTCCACCTTCACCTGCAGCCGGCAGACCCCTGCCCTGGTCCCCTTTCCCAGCCCCATTGCCCACATCCGGGCCAGAGCTCTAGACTTTAGTATACAGGTAGCTAAGACAAAGGTTAGAAAAAGCCCAGAAGGCACTTTATTGGAGGTCTCTGCCCCCATTCACAGGAGGAGGGAGCCAGAAGCCCCGTCCCAAGGGTCCCAGCACCGCCCTGCTCCTCACTGGTCCACAGAGGGCCTAGAACAGTCAGTGTGGCCACCAGCACCTGGTGAGGGAGGGGCGGGAGGGGAACGTCTTAGAAAAAATAGATCTCTATGTACATATCTGTATTTATAGCACATAAATTACGGAGTGCTCTGACCCCCGCCCGCGGAGTCCAAGCACTGAGTGGGGAGGGGGAAGCCAGTCCAGAAAGAGGGGGCCCTCTCAGGGCCCAGGGCCCCCAGCCTTCTCAGCCCGCTCCGGCCTCTGTAGGAGGTGTCCGCCACTGGGGTCTGATCGGGTCTGACGCGGCCCAGACAGAAGGAGCCGCGAGCACAGCTACAGCCAGCACACAAGTGGCCTCAAACACCAGGCTTGTAATTCCAAGAGGAGAACAGAGAGCAGAGGCCACTTGCCCCAGATGCCAGGACGACGGCCGACAGGAGCCAGAGCCTCAGCTTCTCTCCACGGCGCAGGGCGCATACCCAGGCGTCCTGGTGGTCCCCTCCGGGGGCTGCAGCCTCACGTCCGAGCTTTGGTCGCAGGGCCGATCCGACCCTCAGTTCCTATGCCCGGCCACTTCCTCCTCCTTCCAGCCGCTGGAGTTTTTGCCGAACTTGTAGACAAGCCGCCGGCCGTCCACCCGCTCCAGGATCTCCCGTTTGTAGTAGTACCTGAGGGGAGAAGGGTGGTCAGAGGTGCCCAGGCAGGGGCCCGCCTGCCAGGAATCCTCAGGTGACCTGCCCTGCTGGGCTGCAGCCCGGCCGACCTGGGCCCGAGCCACTTCCTGCACGGAGGAGCCTCTGCTCCTTCGCCCTGCTCTGTCCTGAGCACCGGGCCATGCCCTGGCTTCTGTGTGGCTTTCGCCTCTGTCCTGGGCCTATCACGAAGCCACGTGATTTTAGGGTTGAGAAAACCTTAGCGATGGTCTGCGAGGAAACCAAGGTCCAGAGACAGGCAACTTAATGGCTTCAATGGTGTGGGCCTCGGCTACTGCCCTTTTTACCACCAAGGGCCTTTCTTAGGACAAGCCTTGCAGGCGACACAAAGAAATGCTGTCAGACCGAATTCAGCGTGTGCTGCGGGCCAGCCAGGCTCCCACAGAGTCCACGATGTGGCCAGACCCCGTGGTTCCTCGCTGCACGGGACTCACAGCCGCCGGAAGGGGGAGGTTCTGATGGTGCCGGCGCCGCGCTGCCCGGGACTCACAGCCGCCGGAAGGGGGAGGTTCTGATGGTGCCGGCGCCGCGCTGCCCGGGACTCACAGCCGCCGGAAGGGGGAGGTTGCGACGGTGCCGGCGCCGCGCCGCCCGCTCACCTCATGGCCCGGCTCAGCTTCTCGTAGGTCATGCTGCTGTTCTTCTTCTTCTGGCCCCAGAGCTGGGCCACGGCCTCTGAGCGCAGGAACTTGAAGACGCCCTCTTGCCGGTTCTCCCACTTCATGAGGCCCTCGTTGAGCTCCGGGTGGATGAGGATGTCGCGGATGAACTCCCACAGGTGGGTGCCTCTGGGGGCTGCAAGGCCAGGCTCCATCAGTCAGCGGCCCAGGCGACCCCTGACCCCCACGACCGCTGCCCATCCCGGCGCACAGCCTACTGGCGGCTGCCTCCCTCCTGGCCTCCCCCACGGGACAGCCGGGGAAGCTCCAGGAAGACCACGTCTTGCACGGCACAGAGGTTTAACTCGCTCAGGTACTGATCAAATGTCTGGCTGGGATACAAGAGCGGTTGAGACATGGGACCGCATTGAGGGTCTCACAGTTTCGAGGGGTCACGGTAAAAAAGCAGATACAGCAAAAGGTGGTGAGAGCTCAGCAGGTGCAGGACCACAGAGCTGGCACTGGCCTGGGACACAAGGGGACGGCTTCCTGGGAAGAATGACCCCAAGAAGCAAACAGGCCCAGTGCGTGTGGGAGGGGTGCATGTGCAGATGAGAAGGAGCTGCGGGGGCCCACCCGGTGGCTCTGGCGGCAGGAGCCCACGCAAGGGCCAAGGCCAGGGGGCAGGGACTTGGTGGGTGGAAGGGCTACCCCTGCATGGCCCTCGGTGGATGGGCCGTCCAGCGGCCGAGCCACTGTCCCTGCCTGAGCCTGCCCAGCACCCGCCAGCAAGTGTGTCCCTCAGGCAGGACGAGGGGTGGGCAGGAAGCCTGGACCTCAGCCCCACCCTTCCTGCAGCCCCCGTGGCTCCACCGCCACATGCACCATGAAGGACCAGCCAGGCCCTGCCACCGGGCAGTGACCACGCGCACCCTGGCCCCGTGCACAGGAACATGTAGAGGGCCCAGCTCAGGAGAGAGGACCCACCGGCCCCACCACGGCCCCCAGCCGTGCAGGGTCCCCCTCACCATGCACGGCCCCCCAGCCGTGCAGGGCCCCCTGGCCGTGCAGGGCCCCCTCTCACCGTGCAGGGTCCCCCAGCCGTGCAGGGCCCCCCCTACCGTGCAGGGCCCCCTCTCACCCTGCTTGCTCTTCTTGCCCTCAAGACACTCCCGGGAGTCTTTACTCAGCTTTCGGGGCCGGCCCCGTTTCCGCTTCCCATGCTTAAGATCCCCCTTCTTGTAGTCGGGAAAGCCGTCTGTGGGGAGAGGTGGAAGGTCAGGAGAGGGAGGGATGGGGGCTGCTGGGGGACGACCCCCCTCCAGGAAAACCCTGAGGGGGTGGGGGCAGGGGGCCAGCCCCTGAGCACTGCCAGAGGAACACCCACGGGGACCAGGAGGTTCCCTCCGCTCACCCCCAGAGAAGAGCTTGCTGTCCAGGGCGTCCAGGTCCACGTCGCTTCCACCGGAGTCTGAGGCCTGGGGGCTCTGAGAAGCGCCAGTCCCTGGAGGGGCGGTCTAGAGTGAGCCCCTTCCGGTCCTCCCAGAAAGCCTGGGGTCTAGTGCGGGGCGCCAGTGCTCAGGGCATCTGGGGAGGGGAGGCTGTGGGCAGATGCCCGAGGGCTCACCTGCGGTGGAGACGTCAGAGCTGCCCGGGGAGGGGGCCCCCGTGCCGAAGCTGCCCGGGTAGAAGGGGCTGGCCTGTCTGCAGTCCTCAAGCATCTCCTGGGCAAAGGGGCTTCCCTGGTCTGGGGGGAGGTGAGAGTTCAGAGGGGGCCCTGACTCTCCCAGCTGGGGGTGTGGGGCAGAGAGGGGACGGGACAGGCTGGGGGTGTTGAGAGAAGGGGCTCTCACCCAAGGGGCCCTGGTCCCCCAGGGGTTCCAGAAGCGCCATGCTGTCCTTCTCCAGAAGCTCCATGATCCAGCTGAGCTCGTCGGGGAAGCTGGAAGCTGATGAGAAGGGGGTCAGAGCCTAGGGGTCTCCCCTCCCCTCCCTGGGGCTCTCTCCCTGGTGGTGCCCTCGGGCCAGTCCCCAAACCAGCCTCCCTAACTGAGGAGGGGGCGGGGAGGAGGCGGGCTCCCCTCCAGGACTCACTGAGGTCCCACAGCTGGGCGTAGAGCTGGTCCCCCAGGGGCCCGAAGACCAGGCGCAGCTCCTCAGGGGCGCAGCGGCAGAGCGCAGCCCCGTCCATGTCACAGCGCGAGAGGTCAATGGTGCTGGCGTCATACTTGTGCTTCTCCACTTGGTAGCTGATCCAGTCCAGGACCTGGGCCTTGGACCAGAGCTGGGGCTGCTCTCCCAACCAGCTGGCCTTCTCTGCAAGGGGCCGGCACAGTGACGGGTCAGCCCCCTTTTGGGGCCAGCTGGGGATTCCGGGGGTCCCGCCTAGACTCTCAGAGCACCCAGCCAGGAGCAGGGCGGGCGGTGGTGCTCACAACACCCCGGCCAGCACCCCCGCCAGGCGCAGCCCCCAAATCCTAACACCCCAGCTTCTTACAGCTCACCCCAGCCCTCCCCCTGCCCGATCCCCCACTTGTCCCAGGCTCTTAGGCGGATGTCTCCCCCTCCCCAAACGCCCAGCCCCTCCTGAGACCCACCTGTGCCCTCCAGGGGCACCTGCGGGCTGCTGAGCGCCAGCACCAGGTCATCGGCCCCGAAGGCGGCGGCAGGGGGAACAGAGGCCAGATTGGGGTCATCCGAGCTGTACATCGTACTGAAGTAGTTGCTAAAAACGTTGCTAATCTCACAGGTTGCAGCCATGAGGCTACCTGGGAAGGGAGGGCAAGGCCGGTGAGAGCCAGGGGACCAAGGGCGTGAAGGTCAACATCTCGTAGGACACCCTCTCCTCAAGACGGGCTCCAGGGTCTCAGAGCCCGGGGGACGGAGGGTGTGCTGGTGGGGGGGGGGGCACAAGGCCCCCCGCTGGGCTCCCTCCTCTGCCCTCCTGGGCCCACGAGTGGGACCTGCAGTCGTGGCCACTCTGTCCTTTGCAGGGACAGGCTCTCGGGCCCTCAGGACACCGCCCAGCCCTGCAACTCCTGCTTGGGCAGGCTCAGAACCAAGCTCCACCGGCCCCTCCCCAATCCCCCCGGGGCCAGGCGGGGGAATGTGACAGGCAGGGGTCCTACCTTGGCGGCCGAGGGTGTGGCAGGCGGGTTTAGGGGCAGCAGGCGGAGGAAATCCAGGGGGAAAGCTCCGCCAGGTAGCGCTGACACGCAGGCCGCGCTAAGTAGAAGCTCCGAGCTCCGCCCGCGCCCGGGCCTTTATAGGCACCCGCGGTAACCTGAGCTGGTGGCTCATTGGTCGAGGGGATTTCCTGGCCTTTAGACTGGGCTCCTGGCCCCAGGTGATTTGCATATTTTGTGCCACTTGGCCGGGATCCAGGCCGGCGGTGCTGGGAAATCAGGCCCGGCTGGTTTAATGATTGTCAGGGTCTGTCATCCCGCACCCTCTGGGGTTGGGCGCAGGGCAGTGGCCTGGGCGGGTGGCAGGTGGACGCTGGGTGGGCATCTACACTTTCGGCCACCCTTTGGCTCAGGAAATTCCTCTGGGGGGCCAAGCCAAGGATGGGCTGAAGCGGGGAGGGGCGGGGAATCTGGGTCAGAACTGGGTCAGGAAGGCTCTTGGCCCCCAAACGTCTGCGGGTCTGAGGACTAGGGGGCCTAGCAGGGAGGGAAGATACGGAGGTTTGGGGATCTTTCCCATGACGCCCGGGATTCAGGCTGGAAGGCTCTCCAGACACCAGGCAACGTTCACGGCCTGCCAGCCTTGCCCAGGGCCCCAGCGTCCCCAGCGTCCCCAGCCACAGGGCCACCGCTGGCACCCACTTAGTTGGCAACGTCTTGGCATCCTTTGCCTGCCGGACGCCATCCAAGCATCAGAGCCGCTGCAGCCCCCTCTGGAGGACCTGGCTCTGCTCCAAAGAACTTACCCGGCCCCTGGCAGAGCCCACTGCCTGGGGCTGCCGAGGGAGGGGCCGGACCCACGTGGACATGTTTACCCCTCTATCTATCTGGCCTCCATCTAATCGCCACGCACACGGCTCAGCGGCACCTACCTGCTGCCCTCTAGCGTCAGAGGCCCGGCTACCTGGGCTGGCTCAGCGCTCATCAGGGGCCAGGCCACGTTAGCAGGGCTCCGTCTAACCCTTGTGAGAATCCTCAGGATGCGTGGTGATCCCCATCTTACAGACGAGCAGGTGGCAGCTCGAGGGTTGAAGACTTGCCCAGGCCACGCGGAGCTAGTTAAGTGGGGCTGAGGTTTAAATCCCCCAACTGGCGCTCCTTCCAGAGGCCCTCACCCTCCCTGTGGGCAAGGCAACCCCTCCTACCCGGGTCTCCTCCACGATCTCAGCCCTAACCACAAGGGCCGTGTCCCGCAGACCAGAGAGACCTGCGTAGGGACGGCACAGGCTGGCGAGGGGGCACAGACGGGTCCTGGGGCCTCTTCCGTTTCCCATCCATGAAGACAAGGCCCTTTGGACTTACTGACCCCTCAGACCTTTATGCATCAAAGATGCAGCATCTGAGCATCTCTTTCCCCTCCTCCTTGGTTAATGCCAAGGTCCTGGGAGGCCCGGCCTCAAGGGAAAGGCCACGCCCCAGCCCCCCTTCCTTTAACCCTCTGTAGGACTAAGAGGTTTGTCTCAGGAATCTGCCTCTCGTCCGGGGTCTGACACTGCTGGGTGCCCCGCAGAGCAGAGGGCGTTAAGGTCCAGGGTCCCTCCCACGGGCCACGGTGGGGAGCCGAGCTCTGGGGCAGCAGCTCCCCAGCCCTTCAGGGGCCTCCCCCACAGCCCGAGGCACGCCCTCTACCCTGTCCCTCGCCCTGGAATGTGGGAGAACCAGCTCCAGCTCCAGACGGCTCACGTGCTCCCCGCCAGCCCTCCGAGAGCACCTGGCTGGGAGAGGGCTGTGGAGGGGGCGGGAGAGGCGCTGTCGCAGGCCCACCTGGCGGGACAGCGGGGGACACAGCTCAGGACGCCTGGCTGTGAAGCTGCACTCAGGCTCCGGCTGCGGAAGGGGTCCCGCGGGGCCCCTCGGCGCCCCAGGGTCTGCACGGAACCAGGAAGGACACCGCTGGGCGCAGAGCTGAGCGGCTGGGCACCGAGCAGGGCACGGGAGGCGTCTGGCCGGCCCCCGGTTGTCCGCGCCTGTAACAGCGGCCAGGAGCAGCCAGGAGCCAGCGCCCGCGTCCTCGCTCCCACGGTGCAGGGCGTGCTGGAAGGTCTGCGCCGCCCGCCCGGCAGCCAGCCACCAGGGAGACCCTGGATCTAGGAAAACGAAGATCCTGAAATACTTCTGTGCGACCTCCCCTCGCCCCACACCCCACCCCAAGTCGCTAACTGCCTAGATCCCCACGTGGAAATCAGAGCTTAGTGCCAGGTTCTGAACAGACTCTACTACAGACCACACGGAGCCCGTCACCCAGGACCGGGGAGGGCAAGGCCCCGCGAGGCCCACGGATGGCGAGAGGCTGCAGAAAGAGCACTCCGGTGCGCGCTTATTAGCAGCAACGGTAAAGAGGAAGGGGCGGGGGGGACGCTGCACGGAGGGATGCGGCTCAAAGAGGCGGCCTCGGTGCCCTCTGTTTTGCACATGCTCCTGTGGGAACCCCACCTCCTCCAGCCCAGGCTCCTTAAGAACAGGGAGCCAGCGTCCTGCTCTGGGTCTCCCCCTAACCTGCTCAGAACAGAGAGCGGGACCTGGGAGAAGGGATTTCACAGTCACCAAGATACTTTTCACTTTAAAATATTTATTAAAATAATGATTAAACCTGAAAAAGGAATCACCAGAAATCAGCCCTTTGCACGGTACTTCAAGAATCAGCAAAAAAAAAAAAAAAAGAAAAGAAAACAGAGAGTAAGGAAAATCCTTCCTGCTTTTCCCAAGACCCAGGCGGGGAGGGCAAAGCCTGCCGCCCACCCAGCCCAGAGAGTATGGAGGTTCCCGGTCGCACAACGGGTCCAGAGCCGTCCAGTCAGAGCAGAAGCCCAGAGTCCCAAACACCAAGCCCAGAGAACAGGTTACCCCATGGGGACCTGAACTTGGGAAGCTGATAAGAACTGGAATTGGCAGTCTGCAGACACAGAGGCCACAGTGGGAGCCTCTAGCTGCCCAGGGGCGCCACGATCTGCTGGACGTAGTGGACCACGTTGCTGTGGAGGTGGGAGGCCGTGGCCGCGAAGGTCTCCTTGGCGAGGGTCTGGGCGGCCTCACTGCTCCCCATCATGGCGTGGTAGAGTGGGAGGGTGTACTTCTGCTTCCCCTGCAAGAGACGTGCGTGCTCGAGGCCCGTCAGCCTGCATGGTGGTCTGCAGCCCCCAGCCCCTGCCCTGGGCCCATCTGACAGCCTCGTGATCAGGGGCCAAAAGGGATACGGGTATCATTGCTGGAAAGAGAGGCTTCCCAGATACGAGGGCTTGTGTTCCAGAATCTTCTTGGCAGCCAAAGATCCATGCGGCTAGGGTTCGGTATTCACCCTCCTGGAGATGTCTACACTCAACAAAACCGAGTAGGGGGTTGGCACATGGGAGACTCCAAACTTTCAGAGCTCTAAGTGGTCATGCACCGAGGCAACAGCTCACGGCAAAGGCTGCAGAGCCTAAGCCTAAACCAGGGCCCCAGAAGGGCCGCCTGCAGCCAAGTAGAAGGAAACCCGCACCTTCACGTCAGCGCGAGACGGCCACACCTGACACCCAGAGGCTGGGAAGCCTTCAGGGGCTCGAGAACCTGCCAGCAGGTACCTGCCAACAGGTGAGGGAGTCTGCGCGTGGCTTGTCCACAGCCCGGCTCTGGAATCTTGTGGAATGGTTCATCCTGAGGGCCATGGGCCCCTCCCCGGCAGGGCAGCGCTCCCGGTGACCTGGGTCCAGCAGGCCTCTGGACCCTCCCAGGCCACCGGCTTCCCCCAGAGGAGGAGCCTACAATCTCACCTTCACTCACCTGTCCTGGTCTCCGGCCTCTCCCGGAGACCAGCCCCGCCGTCGCATGACTGTCCCTGCCTCGGGTCAGTGCCGGCTGACCTGCAGGAGCTCCCGGGCCGGGGCTTCTCCCCCAGGGCGGCACCACAGCCTGCTCACAGGACCCCGCCAGGCCCTTCAGCCCTGCTCCGGAGAGGGCGGTCCGAGAGGCCCTGCCTGCCATGTGCGGAAGGGGCACAGGCAGGTGGCGGTCACCCACCTGGCTGTGCAGGAAGTCCCTCACTTTCCAGAAGTCCTCCTGGTGGTCGTTCTTGAGGACAATCTGGCCCCATCGCAGCCGTAGCTCCGCGTTCTGGGCATTCGAGATCTTTGGGTACGTCTCTCCAAGTTTCTTCACATTCCCTGGAGAAAAGAAACGGGTCATTAGTGACTTCGCCAGCACACCATGAGCTGAGGCGGCCATGTGTGTGCCCGAGGCCCTCCGAGGGCACCCGGAGGAACTTCAGGGAGGCTGCCGACCACCCGCTCTTCCTGCTGCTTCAGGCCCGAGGGGGTCACGCCTCGTCTTGACTTTGCTGTAATTCCCACGGCTCTTCCTCCAACCTTCCCTTAATACAGACTTCCTGTGGTCACCCCACTAAAGCCTGCGCACCTACCTCAGATATCCCACCGCCAACCTGCTAAACGTCAGCTTGCTCTGTTTTTCTGAGTTAACATCCCTTGGTGAATACTACTTCTGGCTGAGAAGCAACAAAGCATGTGTGCCGAAGAGCTGCGGCCCAGCAGGTCCAGACCCCAGCCCCACGTCTACTGGCTGTGGGATCTGTTTGTGCCTCGGGTTCGCTCCCCAGTCCCTGGGGTCACAGAGCAGCGACGAGGATTAGATGGCGTCATAGCCGGGGGAGCTTGGAAGAATGACCTGCACAAGCTGAGGACTCCACGAGCACCAGGCTTTACGATTTCCCGCCCCCTGGCACTCGTGCGGGCACCTGCATCCCTCCGCCGACGCGCTCCTTGCCCCGGGCTTCCGTCCACCCGCCCTCCCATGCCCCGCAACCCCCTGGGACGAGCGTCACAAGTCTGTCTCCCTCCAACCTTGAAGGAACAACCCACTTTTTCTCACCGGGAGGGAGAGGGGATTTCTGGAGGATCTTATCCAGGAAATAAACCAGCTGGTAGGTCTTCCAGGCAGAGGTGG